CAGAAAATTTATCGGCCTCAAAAGAATAGGTAGACATAGAACGAGGTGGATTAGTAAAGTGGAGGAAGTCCTTAAATACGTGAAGGTGAGGAAACTGGAAAAGAAAAGCACAAAATAGAAGCGAATGGAGAAATATTGTACACCAGGTCCTTCAGAGTAGTTAATAATGTTGTATATACATATTTAAGTTAAAGTTTTGTTTAAAATAATTGTAATTAGTTAATATTAGGATTATGTTGTAAAAAAAATGCCCTAGGCCTTAACGGCCTGTTGTGCGTACAAAAAATAAATAAAAAATAATAATTGTTAACACGGATTTTGCAAAATTTTGCAATTTTATCAGAAAGTAAGATTGTAGGTTCATATATTTGATGTGGTAAGGATGAAACATAGTTGGACTAGAGAAATGACTTGAAAGGATATGAAAGATCCAGCTAAAGAAAGAGCCATTAAGCTTCTAGCATGTCATATCTAGGATCAGTTTGGAATATCTTCAAAGATATGCATAGAATCTAGCACAAAAATAATTACTATATTACAGTTAATACTATATTATCCTGTTCAAATAAATTATCGTTTCTGATTTGGAGTAAAAATGAATATGATTTTTGTCTCCATTTTAGTTATAGATGAAGTTTCCAATGCTTAGTTATATCTTTTGGACAATAATATTGTGGTAGATTATTATAAAGAAATGAAAGCAAATAAACTTTAAACATAAGAAGAGTTATAAAGGGTTATACCCAAGTGTAAACTGTACTGCAGTATAGATTTGACATTGGATATAATCTACAATAACCAGGATAAATCAAGAAGTTATCAATCTCTTTTACCTTTCATCCAGACAATTTGGATAGTATGCCAATAATATAAAATATGGGTAAAAAACAGTTGTATTTGGATTTATGCAAGTTAGGTCAACAATAGATTCAATTTTCTGAATAAAGTTTCTTCATGATCTCCAGGACCTGGAAATATAGGGAGTTACCAGCAGCGGCTCGTGGCCTAAAAAAGTGGTGAAGATGAGGAAAGCTTGCTGGAGCCAAAAGGAGTTCTGGTACCTACGTCGCGCCCATATCTCATTAAAAATTCGTTAAAAAAAACTAAACTAATAAATACTATACTATACTCTATACTATATAAAAAATGTTTATATAATAGACTAAATTTCAAAATATTGTCACTGTGAATACTAAATAGGTACCCATGCAACTAGTGGCCAGTGGGTGAAGATGAAAATATATTTTTTAACGAAGTCACACTAGCTATTTTTCTCAACTATCACTAGCGACAGGCTGACGTCACGTTGCCATGGCAACTGTAAACGCTTGTGCAGATGAATTTCGCATTTGAAAATCGCAAAGATTATATTCACCTATTCCTGAATCATACACAGCAAGTGACACAGCTCAGGACTTGACTGTCAAGTACCTACCTCACTGCTAATAAAGCTAGCTGTATTTTTTAATTTTTAGATTAAGTAAAAGAGAATAAACAATTGATTTCAGAATTTAGATATAATAATGTTGATTTTATTTTTTATTTATTTGTCTCAATTTAATTATATTTTTTTGGTGAACCTCACCTTCACCTACTTCACCTGGCCGGCCGCCGCTGAGAGCTCCTAAAGCAGGAGGTCCACTCCTAACAAAACAAATAAGTTTTCTAATGAATCAATGCTGCCAACAGATTAAAGTACCATCTGAATGGAAAACTGCTCACCAAGTGTCCATTTTTAAAAAGGGGAATCGAAAAGATCCTAACTGTTACAGAGGATTAAGTGTCCTACCTATTTTCGGGAGATTGTTTGAAAAGATAATAAATGGAAAAATACAAGATAATGTAGGACATCTAATTAACGAAGACCAAAGTGGATTTATGCCTGGTAGATCTTGCACTGATAACTTGTTTATACTCATTTAACAACAATTAATAGAAAAAAAGAATAGAGGTTGGTAGCGAAGTACATCTAGCCTTCATCAACCTAGAAAAGGTGTATGATACAGTTCCAAGACTTAAACTGTGGCAAGTTTTACAACAACTTGGCATGAGTCAACACCTTTTAGAAATAATCACAGAAGTATACAGGGATAACACTACTTACCTAAAAATCGAAAACAGACTATCAGAGCCAATAAAAGTAACTAAAGGACAAGGATGCAGTATGTCACTGTTACTGTTTAATTTATATATTGAGGCAGCCCTCCAAAATTGGAAAAACCACTGCCAGGGAATGGAAATCCCCATAGGAAATGACATACTGTTCTCACTGAACTTTGCGGATGACCAAGTCATCTTAGCTCAAGATTCTTATGATCTAGAATTTATGATAAAGCGCCTATAGAGAGAATGTGTAAAATGGGGGTTACAAGTCAGCATGAAGAAAACAGAATATTTAGTTACCAATTCAGATGCAAGGTTTGAAGTGTTGATAGATGAGGACATGGAAATCAAACAAGTGGAAAAATTTAAATATTTAGGTGCACTCATTGATAAGAACGGCTTGGGAAAAATTGAAATTAAACACCAAATGAATCAGGGACGTAAAATTGTAGGATGTCTGAACTCATTATGGTGGGATCGCAACATTTCCAAAAGGAACAATAAAAGAATAGGCAAACCATGGTTGAATCAGTTCGTTGTTCTGTCTCTGTTCTGTCAACGAATCTATAAGAAACAACATGAATGCTACAGAAACAGTCATTGGCAGAATAGAAAGAAGAGGTTTAAAATGGTTTGGACACCTATTGAGAATTCCTGACAAATGTTGGCCCCAAAAACTTCACAGATGGAAGCCCCCTGGAAGACGAAAAAGAGGTAGACCTTGATGCTCATGGAATGAAGAATTTAGAAGAGCGATGGAATCTAGAGGTTTGCCCATAACTCATGCAACTTTTTTAAAGTTACTCAGACCAAGACAATAATTTGATCACCATAAGCAAGCTAATATTCTGTCTGTTTAAAAATTCTTTAACACACATTGGAAATATTCACCTTTTAGTTCAGGTAAAAGGTCTTTATTTTTTTATTGATTGTGACATTTGAGTGTTGTAAACATTTTGGAGAAATATGAATGGTGAGGTTTGCTGTGGGTAGAGAGTGTAGAGAGTGCTGAGGCCATTAATTGATGATAACAAAATAAGCAGTTTCCTAAAACATTGAAAATACTTATCCTATTTTACAGAAATGACCTTAATGAAGAAAAATGAACACTAAGAGCTAGTGTGTCTCTAGAAAAAATAAAGCTTACTCAATCTACTAATATATTTAAATACAAAATTAAGGATAGGAAACATTAAGATGTAGACAATTAGTTTCATAAAACTTATTCCAAGTACAGAAAAGGGGGAAAATGGGTGGATGCAAACTTTGATTGGTATACAAATTTAAATGATGATAAACAAAATAGCTTACAAGATGTAAAATTGAAGAATGTATTAATAATATAGAGGATGATAAAAAATTCTAAGTGAATTTGAGGCATTGAGCACAGTTTATTATTTCACAAAAACAATATTCTTTTATAGATTCGTAACTTTTTGTATTTGTATGTTAAAATATTATGTATGTGTAACAAGTATATTGTAGCAAAATACATTTTTTTAGTAATAAAACTAACAAAATGAAATATTTTTAAAAAGTATGATTTTTTGGGGAAAAATATTGGAATGAATACTAAATGATTATCCTTACATTTAACACCAAAGATATTAACAATTTTAATCTTGAAAACCTGATAAAACATTTTTACAACAGAACATTAAGTTTATCTCAAACCATGTTCATTTTTTTGTAATAGGGAGTATACTAACATGTATTATGCAATATTTTTAATGTAGTATTTAAAGTATGAGTATGACATAAAGTTTTATGTAACATAAAACCAGCAATGAAGATATCAATATTGAAAGTCGTTAATTAGATCAAAGCTAAAATATGTCAGTCAAATGCTAGCTACCTTATTAGCATAGAGGAACAAAAAGCTATATAGTAAGTAAATTTATCATCATCCAACACAAGAGAATTATTGTTAACTACTTTTTATTAATTCAAATGAATAATATTAATAATATCAATTTTATATCTATAAATAATAAGGCTACATAGATCAAAATATTAGCATGAAGAAATTCTTAAGTTTTTGAATGAAAAGCAATAATCTACAAAATGAAATATTCATGGATTTCCTAGTTGAATATAGAAGATAACATAGCTCCAGGTAGCCATGCTTTGTAAGAATGAAGGATATAAACAAATCCCAAAAGCATGCAAAAGACTCAAAAATTAACATACTCCCAAAAGTTCCAATCCAAAATACTAACAATGATATGGGTCTCAATCTCAACATGGGTCTTAAATAAAAAAGGGCACACATTTATAATATCTATAATAAAATACAAATTCTGTGGCTAAAGTTAAACAATTAGCAGAATAAATCAGTAAGAGCCAGTAAGCTTAAACAAAATTGGACAGGTATCTAAATGAAAAATAAAATTCTTAAATATCACTGGGGATTGGTATGAATGAAGGTATGGTAATTAAATTGTGCCAAATTGGTGTAGCTTTAACTCAATTGGCTGTAGATTTGATATATGCACCTCAGTAAAAATAATAATAGTTACTTAATAAATAAGATGTTAAAAAAATATAGTATCAAATTTTATCAGTGTTACACATATTATAATTGTAACTGTTACTGGAATTTACCTATTCAAGTTCTAACAAGTAAAAATAATAGATAAACAACTGTATTAATCCATATCATCTGAAGTGTATACATTTTGTGCATGATTTTAGATTATGATAAACTTGGTAGCATTTCATGTTAGTTAATGAAACAACACAATTCGAGATGATTATCATATTCTTCTACATATTATTTATTTATTTAACACTATAATAACAATATTCGATCAAGAACAAGTAATTATATATAAAAACTAGACCCAGTATAAAAAACAACAAAAACAAAGCATACAAACATTTTGGCTAAGTCTTACCTTTTAACCATTTCTTCAGCCGTCTTAGACAGTTTGAATAAATAACTTCCAAAACAAAATCAACCTTAAAATTTCATTATTTTCCAGTTATCACTTAAACTAGCTCCTTGTTTACCAAAAGACATAATCAAAACTATCTATACTAAACACAAAAAATCAGACACTATTATGTTTAAACACACGAACGATCGTAACTAGAAATTACTGTTTTATTTTGAAAGTTCTGTCAGTTTAATTAACGATTTGTTTTATTACCAACACGACCATTCACTTTCTTATAAAATCCACTGCACACTGCAGATTTTCCATATAATAATGGCGCTGGCGCCTTTCGATTTGTGGGGGACAAGTGTAATGTGGATCTGTCGACATATTGCGACATCTAACGGCAGTGAGCTTAGTCACTTGCTTATTCTTGGTAAGATATCGTCATATCCCCTAAGAAGTAAACTTCAGAATGAAATTGTTATGATATTTGGACGGTAATTATTATTTCATTTGATATACAGAGGTAGCTATAAACTCTAATAAAATAATAGAGAACAAAATATTGCCAAATAATATGTAAATAAAAACATTGAGTTTCCGAATTATTTGAAATTGGTAAAAAAAAACCCAGTAATATGCGATTTCATATTATGTTTTCCTTTTAAATACCAAACAAATATACAGGCCCATGAACGTCTTTATTGGTCAGAAATACTCATAGTTTTTAATATTATAATAGTATAGATAGTAAGATAGTATAAATATATCAACTTTGGTTGTATATCCTTTGTCTTTTTTTGTGATTAACACCATTTGAATTACCACTTAATCTACAACATAAACATTAAAGAAGGAATTATCACAACACCACAAGCCATCCAGAAACACTCACAAGAAGGGATTCAAAGATGACAATATACCATAAATGCAAAGGGATTATCAGAAAAATTAAAAGGATAGAAACTAAGTACATCATAACAAGATTCAAAACAACCAATGCGTATAAGAGTACGCACTTAATATTTAAAGTGCGACATTTTTTTATTTTTACGAAAATGGACTATTTATTATTCCTCACATTGTTAATCAATCATTTAAAAATTTGTTTTAGAATAGTTTTAAACCATATTTGTATTCAAATAAGAAATATTTAATTTTATTTGCGCGAAGCTGCTAATGTGTACTCTTACACACAAATTTGCATAAGAGTACGCATCTATATGTTTAAGAGTACGCACATTACTGAAGTGTAAATAAATATTAAGATATTCCAAAAATCAAACTTTATTTCTAAAATAAACGCAACACAAATACATAAAAAAAGAAATATGAAAAGTGTGTTTTAGAACTCATTTTTATTTCATCTTTAAATCCATTGCTACTCCGCGCAGTTAAATCACTTGAAGTCTTCTGAAGTCGTACAATATTCGTGCCACCAATTCTTGCATTGAAAGCACATGATCCACTCTTCAACAGAATTTGAATATAATTCATTACATCCTGGGCACGTTACATCAGGATCACTTTCTTTATTCCCTTTTTGAACTTTGTGCAATGATTTACTACAACTAGGCACTAATTTTCTTTTTATTCGTTCCGTTCTTTTTTGTTCTACTTCTTTGTTTTTTTCCAAATTCTCAAGTTCTTTTGTATATGGGCTACTGGAAAGTATTTCGGACTTTTGGGATTTTGTTTTGCGTCGATTAGGCTTTTCTTTAATTTTGGGTAATGGTAAAATCTCTGCCGCTGATACTGACATATTTAAGCTATTAGTGCTAGCTTGTGATGGTATTAATACACCATCTTCGCATTCGATATCAAGATTAGTCACATCGAGAGGCGGTGTATCATCATAGATTAGGTTGCTTTGAAGGAGGTATTACTTCAGATGGTATTGGAAGCTGAAGTCCATTATTTTCTTCTACACGGACTCCATTTGAAGTATTATCTAATACCGCGCTTACTGGATTGTCCAAAGGTACGTCGGTAACATAGGAAGGGGCAAAATCCATGTTTATCAGGGTTAAACATATATATTCCCGATGCTTTAAAAGAATTTTCTTCTAAATATTTGCTACAGAACCATAAGCAGGACTAAACAATCCAGAAACTTGAAATAATGTAATTACTTTACCTGGATTACTTACCATCCACTTGTCATATTTCCTACTGTAGGTATTTTTTAAAGGACCAAAAAAACCAATATCCAGTGATATCGATGATATCACTGGATATTGATCCAGTGATCAATGTGATTCTCTCGGCAATATTTTATAGCTTGCAGGTCACGATGAGAGCTGTGATTGTTGAGAATTAAAAGAACTTTGTTTTCAGCACTGGGTTTGACAAATATTAAAATGTATTAACCAGTTACAAAAAAGATCCGTGTTGATATATCCAGATTCAAAAAATAATTTCAGAGTTTCACATAGTGAATTAAAAAACAGGTCTTCCTTAATTCTTTTTCTGGAGAATATGAGTGCTGGAGGAATATAGTTACCTGTGGAGTTCATGTAACATACAGCGGGTACAAGTTGTCCACGATCTGCGCTAGCTACATTCCTTATAAGTTTCTTTCCCTTGCTCGCTAATGTCTTGAGTAACTTATTATGCACGGTTGATAAACCCGATTTATCCCTGTTATATATTGAACTTAGAGAGTATTGCCTCAGTTTATAAAGATTTTTAAGGTTATCGTAATATCTTGTTACTTCATTTTTATTAAAACCCATAATTCGGGCCATCGAACATTTTCCTGTATAAATGTTCAATAAAATTTATATCAGATCGACTGTAAAAATTCGATATCTTTTGATTCAAGTGTCCTAACGACAAAAATCGAGATGCATTTTAAAGGCAAAGAGTTCAACTTTCGTATGCAATTTTTGTATTTTGCCGCAAATAAATTTAGATTTTATACAGGTGTTATATATATATATATATATCCGGTTTTTTAGGCGTTACGCCCGTCCGGTAGGGATCTATGGAGGAGTATCACCGAGCCGCAAGCCCTTATCTCTTGCCGTACTGCTCCACCATAGGCCGATCAGAACCCAGCATATCCTAGTCTAAGCCGCAGATTCATCTAGAATTTTAAACTGCTGCGTTAGACTTTTTGTTTTCTGTACACCGAGCTTGGGCTCGACCCACATCCACTAAACCATTCGACAGTGAAGCGAATGAGAGGCAGCCGCACAGCTCGCTGAGCTATCTGACGACATACAGGTGTTATAAAAACAAATAAATAAACGTGGCGCGATTTTTGCCATTTTTTATGATTCTAATGAGATCAATACGATCTATAACTTTCATTATCTGGTCACTATGAAGTTTAGATTACTCGAGCCTAACCTTTAAAACCTATAGCATGAAATTTTAGTTTTGAGTTTTGCTAACAAATGTGAGGCATTTGAAATATGCATAAAAAACGCTGGGTTTAAACATTCACATAACAAACGATCTAACACGTTTAAAACATTTTTTTTAATTACACTGATACGTTTTTACGGCCTCGGCATTAACGTCAAGAAAACAAAAACAATGATTGTCTCCAAAACATCCATCCATCCACCCATGGCTTTAAACGTGAATGGTAACATTATCGAAAATGTCGAGAAATTTCGATATCTAGGGTGCTGGATAACGAAAGATATAGATCCAGACATAGAAATAAAATCGCGAATTGAACAAGCAAGAAATGTCTTTTTAAAAATGAAACAAATGTTTACGTCCCAAACACTCAATCTCAAAATCCGATACCGAATGCTGAAATGTTAAGTTTACAGCACCTGACTATATGGAATGGAGGCCTGGACCTTCAAAATCAACTCACTAAGGCGTTTGGAAAGTTTTGAAATGTGGTTATTCCGAAGGATGCTGAAAGTCCCCTGGACAGCGCATATGAGCAACGAGCAGGTCCTACACAAGATGGGTACCGACAGAGAACTCTTAAAAATAATGAAAACACGGAAAACCTCATATTTGGGACACATATACAGAAATGAGAAATACCAGCTACTGCAGCTTCTTATAGAGGGGAAAATAGAAGGAAAACGTGGTCCTGGTAGACGGCAGGCGTCCTGGTTGAAGAACATTCGTGAGTGGACTGGTTTGGATTCTCAATCTTTAATAAGAAAAGCCAGGGACAGAAATGATTTTGCTGAGGTTATCGCCAACCTTCATTGAAGACGGCACTCAAAGAAGAAGAAGATACGTTTTTCAAAAGAACCAAACTTTTGCTATACACTACACCCTAAAACCGTCTTCTTGGAGGCATTCTCGTGACGTGCGATCGTTTGTAATGTAAAACATTAAATTCTGCGTTTTTTATTCATACTTTCAAATGCCTTACATTTATTGGCACAACTCAAAGATTGAAATTTCATGTTAAAGGTTTTAAAGATTGATCTCTAAAAATGGAAGTTTTACTACGACTGGCCAATGAAAGTGATCAATTTCATTGATTTCACGGGAATCGTAAAAAATGGCGAAAATCGTGGCACGTTTATTTATTTCACACCTTTATAAAAACTGAGTTTATTTGTGGCAAATGCAAAAAATTGCATACGATAGCTGCACTCTTTACCTTTAAAACGCATCTCGATTTTTGTCGATAGAGCACTTGGAACAAAAGATATCGAATTTTTACCGTCGAGCTGATACAAATTTTATTGAACATTGATTTCGCAAACGTAACTGACATTCAAAATCGACGGTCGCTTTAAGGGTTGTTTCTGAGAGAAGGTTCATTCTACACAAAAAGTGCTAATAAATAAATATTAAAATTATCTCAGCTACATTTCTTATTTAAAACATTTTTTTCTATGGCGTACAGATTCTTGGTAAATCGATTTTTTTACAATTTAACCCACCAATATCCGGCAGGAAAGGAAAAGATCATCTAAAAGACGACGAGACCTTCCAGGTCGCTAGCAAGCAAAATGCTCGTTTAGATACTAAAATGCCACTCTAAGAATATCAATGTAGACAATAAAACTTGCAACATGGAATGTAAGAAGCTTGTACCAGCCAGGAAAATTAGACAATTTAATACAAGAAATGTCCAGAATGGAAATAAATATACTGGACATAAGTGACGTACAATGGCCAGACACCAGCAAACTTATAACCAAAAACGGTATGATGTATTATGCTGGAAACAACGATCCAGCTCATCGCTATGGAGTCGCAATCTTGTTAGACACAGAAACTAATAAATCAGTTATAAGCTTCATTCCTTACTCAGAGAGAGAGAAAGTGATAATGGTTCAGCTGAAGACAAACATACAAGTTAACTTAAT